CCACTGTCTTACAAATGTAATTTGGGGGAAACTGAACTGAGCCGAAAGGAGTCAGAGTGAGGCTGAACCACAGTCCATTCGGCTTTGTCCCCACCCCCCACGCAGCCAGGCAGGGAGCAGGTGCTGGCCTCCGGGATGGGGATGGGAACAAGGAGGGTGGAGGGCAGCCCCCACAGAGGGAGGGGTCGCTGGGGAGAGGGGGGTAGCAGGAAAAGCAGTGAACAAAACTGAGAGAGGAAAGGGGCCTCTCAGACAGACAGACGGATGGAGGGAGGAAGGGAGGGAGGGCAGAAGCTGGGGAAAGGCCTGGATTCAGCAAAGGGCAAAGCCGGGGGAGAGAGGGCCAGCTACCTTCCCACGTGAGGGTGCAGGCGCCTTAGGCTCTCCATGGGGGTGGGGGTGGCCTCCATGCAGGTGACCGGCTGGTTGAGGGCGTAGCCTCCAGGCTTCTGGGGCTGGGTGCCACCTCGGGTCCAGCCTTCTCGGTCCAGACCCTTAGGGATGTTCTCAAAGTACCTGCAGCACAGGGAGGGGGTTCTTGGCTATAAGTCGGCCTCTGCCCACCTCTGCGGCCTCTCTGCCCTTCCGGGACGGGAATCTTGAATCCAGCAGGGCAGACTGCCTCCGATCCCTCCAGCTTCTTTACCTTGGCCCACGCTGTGCCCTCTGCCGGGCACTCCCTGAGCCCCTGCCCGCATGGGGGACACTGGCTCTGCCGTGAGCTGGATGGCCCTCCTTTGTGCAGCCCCCCATGCTGAGCCAGCACTTGGGAACGTAAAGGGCCCTTTAAGAGCGCCTCCCCGGCCTGTGAACACCTCAGGGGTGGGGAGTGGAGACCCCACCCATCGTTTCTCTCCAGGGGATCCACTTGGCTTCCGTTTTGCTACTATTCACTGAGCACTGGGCCAGGCTCTGAGAGTGCCGGGAGTACAATGTGGGCCCCGCCCTGGGGCTTACAAAGTAGGGGTGCAGACAGGTAAGTGGGAAAATCAGTGGTTACCACCCCTGGGGAAGGGCAGCGTGCCTGACAACGGGCAGGAGCTCAGGAAAGCCGAGGCGGGGGTGGGAGAAGGACCCCGCAGAGCCGGCTGGGGCAGAGGTTCTGCCAGAGCAGCTACAGGACGAGGGCATTTGCAGGGACACTGTTGTCCCCCAAAACCCAGAGTGAGTCTCAGCCCCTCCCCCTCGCCCTCCGTGGGACCTGGAGCAGGTCACGGCTCTGCTCTGCCGTGTGGCTCCGGCGTCACTTCCCCCCTCTGAGCTTCAAAGTCCACATCCCAAAGAGGGGAGTTAGCCCGAGGATGGGAGGCATCTTGGGAGACCAAGGAATTGGGGGGCAGTGTGGACACAGGCGGACACACAGAGGGCAGATGTTGTGCTAGGAGGCTTTTGTCCAGAGAATTACACCTCCTTGATCCCACCCCTGTAATGCCTTCCCCATCCAGTCCTGGCCCCAGGAGCCCTTCCCAACGGCTCTAGGGCCACTTCCTCCTGGAAGCCCTCCCTGATGCCCGGCACAGAGCTTACTTTCTGGGGAGCACAGAGCCCGCCTGTCATGGACTGGATGTAGGATCTTAGCAGATGGGATATTGTCCCACCCGGGCCCCCTTGAGCCCACCAGCCTGGGCATCGATGGCCTGCACTGCATCAGAGAGAAGTGCAGAGGAAGGCGTCCCAGAGGGTGCTACAGCTCACTTTGCCTGAGCAAGGAGGTACCGGGGATTCTTAGTATGGTCCCTGGGGACAGCCCTTAACTAACGACCGATGGGTGTGGAGCTATCAGCCCCCTAGCTCTCTCCCCGCTTGGCTGGGATGATCCCGGGTTGTGTGTTTGCACCGTTTTCTGGAGTCTTCCCGCGGGATATCTGGCTGATACCACACTCGCTCGGGGCTGCCTTCCTCTCCCCATACCACTTTCCCACTCCCCCACACTCCCCAGTAAGAGGCTTGCACTCAAATCCTTGGCTCCGGGGCTGCTTCTGGGGGAACCCACATTGATTCAGTGTTGGTCTACCTCACAGACTTGTGAGCTCGTGACTTGTCCCAGTGTCTGTCTACAAACCGCACGTCGGCGTCACGGCCGTCGACTTGCACAGGGAAGGGGGGCTTACCCTTGGTTGTAGGTGGTCAGGTACTGATTATCCATGTCTGGGTCATAGGGGCTCCGGATGTAGCTGGGGTTGTTAAGGCTGAACCCTGTGGGCTCCTGCACAAGAGGTATAGAGGGGACGTGTCAGGCCGGCACGGGGTGGAGATTCGGGAGTGGGGCTGGGAACCCCGGCCTCACCTTGTTTCCCACAGTCTCCCTGCCAAGCAGGGCAACGTTGGTCTGTTGCACCCGCTGGGGGGGCTGGAATTGCCCGTGGCTCACGCTGATAGGCCGTGGGCTGGGTGGGGGCACCTGCAGAGGACAGAGCCACAAGAAAGGTGGCCGGGTGGCCAGGGCGAGGCAGCAAGGATAGAGGGAGCGTAGGCAGATGTGGCCCTGGGGCCTCGCCCTTCCCCCTCCAGACAAACCAAATTTCTGGTTTGAAAGACACCCCTCGGGATGCCTGGGTGACTCAGTCGGTTGAACGTCCGACTCTTGGTTTCGGCTCACGAGCCATGAGTTCGAGCCTTGCGTCGGGCTCTGCACTGGTAGTGCGGAGCCTGCTTGGGATTCTCTCTCTCTCTGTCTCTGCTTCTCCCCTGCTCATGCTCTCCCTCTCTCCCCCTCTCTGTTCCTCTCTCTCTCTCTCTCTTTCAAAATAAACAAAAACAAAAACAAAGACACGCCTCACTTTCCGGCTTCCTAGGCCTTTACTCCTCCACCAGGACGTCCAAAACATCCCGATTCTTCCCATTGTTTAGTGCCCAAATGCCACTGCGCCCAAGAGACCTCCCTGTCTCCTCCCGTAGAGTGCTCCTGCTCTGAGGGAGCACCACCCCCCCCCCCCCCCCCCCCCCCCCCCCAGCTCAGCTTACACGAATGTGGGTCATGGGGAGGAAGTCGGACCTGGTGACACTCCGGCCAGGGTGGAGGACCTGGAAAGAGGCCCCCAGAGGAACATAAGCAGCGGCCCCTTGTCCTGCGTGCAGGGGAGGGCTCACAAGTGGGTATCATTGGGGCAACTGAGGAAAGGGAAGAGTTTGGGGAGAACAATGCTGAATGGGAATCAGCAGGCCAGGGCTCTGGTCTGAACTCTTGTCCAAACGTTGGCTCTCTGCCCCTTCTCCTCTTTGGACCTCAGTCTCCTCATCCATAAAATGGGGCCGTGGGGGGGCTGGACCAAAGCGGTGGTTTTTACCCACACTCGTTCATCTTGTGTTTGAACAAAGGGTTCCGCAGCTCACACTTTTAAAGAAGCTAGAAGTCACCCTGAGGTCCTAGTGGGCACCAGCCTGACTTACCGGGTCCCCAGGGACGGTCTGGGAGGGTGGCTGGAAGCCGGTGGGGTTCTTGGTAGACTCTTCGGTGAAGCCAGTCTCCTCCTTGGAGCCAATTGATATCTTCTGCAAGAGATCTGCAAAAGACGTCCCCCCTGTGCTGCCCCCAGCCCCACCCCAGCCACCTGGCCCTGCCCACATGGCCTCCAGAGGCTCAGTGTCCCAGCCAGCGGGCACAGAGCTGGCTCCAAGGGTCTGGAGGCCCAAGCTACAGGATCGTGGGCATCTGGAAGACTTCAGAGTCCAAGATGGACAGCGAGAGGGGAGAGGAGAAGAGGAGAAGGAAGGGCAGGGCTGATGGGCCAGGAGGCGGCTATGGTCAGGTTCAACAGCCCTCCTAAGTGAGTGAGGTGTCCTTGGGGGATTGGCACTAAGGCACGTCTCCCCCAAGCTGCCTGTGTGTCCTTTTTTGTCCCGCTGGTGCCTTCTTTGTCCTGTGCCAACTCATCCGGGTCCCCTGGCGTCTCTCCTAGGGCTCAGGTGTAGGGTAATATAGTGGGAGAGAGGCGTGAGCTCAGACGTGTGCCTACCTGGCTGGTTTGAAGTCTCCTTGAGATACTTGGAATTGTACTCAGAAGTCAGGAAGCGCGGGCCCTGGAACACAGAAGGTGAGCGGGGGGGGGGGGGGGGGGGGGGGGGGGGGGGGGGACGTAAGAGAGAACAGGGCCCACAAGGCGGCTGGTGGCAGTGGTGGCTCTTCAGTTATGTGTGCTCTGAGTAGACCTGTGTGGCCTGTTCTGAGCAGGGAGGGCCAGCACAGCGCTCCTGACCCAAACCTGTCTCTGATGGGGCATCCGAGCCCCATAAATTCCACCATGAGAACACGGTTCCCCTGTGGCAGTGCCAACTGTCACATCCCACACCGGACTCCCAGGAATGAACAGGGGGCCCAGAGCCCTGGGACCCAGACTAGGAGGGGGCCCAAAGCAAGGAGAGAGGCTGAGGGAAGAATAATGGGTGCTTGCTTCACAATCCACGGCCCAAGGCTGAACAGGTCTGCATGGGAGAGGGGAGGGAAGGGGCCCCTGGGGTTAAATCCCAAGACACGAGTAAGGAAGCCTGGGAGGACCGCTCTGATGCTGTCTTGGAAATAACAAATGACCTTGGCTCTCCCCACTGTTTCTAGATATGCTTAGTCCACCTTTATTTAGCTGGCTTTCAGGGTGACTCAGAGCAGGTACATGTCTCCGGGAGGGGAAGGGGGTGGGTCTGGCCCCTCTGCCCAGGGCACAGCCCTTACTGGGGGCTGCCCACTCACATGCCGGGAGTTCTCCCACTCCAGCGAGCCCTTGCCCTGCTGCTGGTGGAGCAGGGGCATGTCCCTGGGTTCCAGCCCTATGATGGCCTGCGGCCCGTAGTCCTGGGTGTCGAAATGGACCTTCCTGACCTGGGAGGGAGAAGCGGCCAGTCACTCTCCAGGTGAGGCGATGGCAGTCACTTCTCGACTCTGATTCTGCCCTTGACCCCTATGGAGTATCTGTAGCCTGAGGGGCCCCCCCCTTTTTTTTTTAATTTTTTTTTCAACGTTTATTTATTTATTTGGGACAGAGAGAGACAGAGCATGAACGGGGGAGGGGCAGAGAGAGAGGGAGACACAGAATCGGAAACAGGCTCCAGGCTCCGAGCCATCAGCCCAGAGCCCGACGCGGGGCTCGAACTCATGGACCGCGAGATGGTGACCTGGCTGAAGTCGGACGCTTAACCGACTGCGCCACCCAGGCGCCCCTCAAGGGGCCCCTTTATAATGAAGTTGGGTCACGTCCCTCCTTTGCTCAGAGCCCTGCAATCTTCCCACTGCACTGGGAGTAGAATCCCATGGCCTGACAGCCACCCGCGAGGACCTCGGCTCCTCACTTGGCTGCAGCCATCTGCCTCCCTGCTGTTCTTTGTCACATCACACACTCGCACCGCAGGGCCTTTGCACGTGCTGTCTGCGCTGCCTGGAACTCTCTATCTCTCACAGCGCTGCATTTAGAGGCACACTAACCTCCCTCGACTCTTTGACTCACGTCCCCATAGCAAGCTCTTTTCCAACCCTCCTGCTTTGCCGTTGCAACCCCTTCACTTCTGCTGCACCCCCTGCCTTTTTTTTCCCCCAGCACTTGCGCCTTCATATATAGAAGAGACGTTCAGAACAATCTGGTTGAATGAATGAAGGTGGTAAAGGTGATTCGACTCCCAGCCCCCATGTGGCTCCCCTGTGCCCAGTCATCTCAGCCTTGACCAACCCTTCGTGGTGCAGTTCGCCCTGCCGGAGGGATCCTCACCCTTTCTTCCCTTCGGCTCTTCCTCTACCCCAGCCTTGGGCTCCCCCTCTCCCCCCCAGCACTGACCTCTTTAGTAGGGGTCGCCGCGCTGGGCTTCTCCCGAGAATAGCCAGAGCTGGTCTGGTGCATGTTCCAGGGCAGCGGGTATGTGCCATCAGGCACCTCCAGGGGGCGGTAACTCTGACTGGTCACTGACTGGAAATTGGGGCGGACTTGTTCCCTGAGGGTGGGGCAGGAGCCGGAGCGATTACCACCAGGGCCACGTGGAGGCTGCTGTGCTTATCTCTAGAAGCTTCCCACTCCCCTCGAACCTCCCGCAGGAGTCCGCCTGCCTTTGGGCCCCAGGCTGGGCACTGCGCCCCGAGTGCCCCAGGGTCCCAGACCTAGGCCGGGCAAGGGTCAGGGCCTCCGCGCACGGAGCTTACAGTGGGTCTGATGAGCTTCGATGGCCCTGAGAGCTAAGGCTCAGCGGAGCAGGGGGTGAGAAGGGATTGTACGGACCGTGCCCCATGGCCGGGTTGTCCAGGGCATCGAGATTGGCCTGGTATGAGACCACAGGACGGTAATTTGATTTGTAGCCTGTGCCTTCGTGACTGCCCATGCGGGGCCTGAACTCCTCCTGACCTGTCAGAGGGGGAGCGAGAAGACAGGACCAAGGGTCAGCGGAGTGGAAAAGCAGTGAGCAGGGCCTCCCAGCAACCACCCCCCTCTACACACACACACACACACACACACACACACA